ATCACAAGTTTTATAGAATTAAAAGTCAAATAAAATTGAAAATCATAAAGAATTAAAGTCGAAGACTTTTAGATAATGAACAAGATTTAAGCTAAATTTTCCGAGAAAGATCAGTCATTTAAAACTAAGCGACATTAAAAGATTGATTGATTTTGAAGTTGTGTTTAAACACTTCTAAGTTAGCACGCGTTGCCTTAATGAAATTATTGTTTTATTAAGTATATATTGCTCTATTAACTAGAACTACTCTGGCGGTGACCATTTTGATTGTTTAGTGAGTCGCTTACGATCAGGCTTTTTTGTTTTTATATTCTCAATAAAAAAAATTTTGAATTTGAGTCTTTGTTTAAACTTTTCGATTTGAGTCAGATATTTAAGTGCACTGTTGATTATGTTGAGTTTTCTTTATGGAATATTCTATTTGAAAAGTTTATGTTTTAATGTAGTTATTGTTTTATTGTATATATTGCTCTATTGTTTTATTAAATTATCTATTGATTATTCTTTTATATAGGCGTAGTTAGAATTTAGAAGCCTATGGTAAATATATATGTCAGCACATGTTATATGAATACCACACGGGTTAAATCGCAAAGGCCCACTTTCAAAAATTTCAAATATTATATATATTTTTATGGTATTTTCGTATTAAGCTATTTTAACTTAAAAAATCATAACAAATTTTTTAAGGTTCAACTGTCATTTAAAAAAGGGCAACTTTAAAACAACCACTATTGTCCAATGTTTACCGCGTTAAAAACACGGTTGTCCAAGTTATTTATAACTAAACCAATGATAAAAAAAGTGGATAAAGTAACGGACAAGTATGAAAAATTCTTTTTTTCCGAAATCAATGACCTTTAAAAACTAAGTTAGAACTTTCAGAAAAAAAATAAAAACGTTAAGAAGGGAACATTAATACCTAACATGCTACCTATAAATATCTAATTAGTTTTGGGTAAAAATGTTGCATGTGGAATAATAAATTTTTCGTTATAGCCATTAAAACTTGTGTCAGGCAAGAAACCGATCGTTCCTTTCGTGACACAAGTTTTTAATGCTTATAACTAAAAAATTTAAATTCTATTATTCTTTTTTGTCAAAATTAAATAGATATTTATAGTTTTATATAACATTTTTTCCCCTTCTAAACGTTTTTACTTTTTTTTAATTTCTAATTTAGTTTACAAAGGTCATTCCTTTTGAAAAACACGACATTTTAAACCTGCCCTAAACATATATATATATATATATATATATATATATATATATATATATGTATATATATATATATATATATATATATATATATATATATATATATATATATATATATATATATATATATATATATGTACATATATATATATATATATATATATATATATATATATATATATATATATATATATATATATATATATATATATATATATATATATATATATATATATATATATATTTATATATTTGTATAACATATTTTATATATATATATATAATAAGTTTTTTTATATAATGACAAAAACTTTTTACTTAAGTTATATCAATTTTAATTTTAATTCATTAGGTACCTACTTTTTAACGTTGAAAACCAAACCGTTTAGATTACAAAGGTCATTCCTTTTGAAAAACACGACTTTTTTAACCTGCTCTAAACAACATTACGTTCACATAATATATATATATATATATATATATATATATATATATATATATATATATATATATATATACATATATATATACGTTCTCATATATATATATATATATATATATATATATATATATATATATATATATATATATATATATATATATATATATATATATATATATATATATATATATATATATATATATATATATTATATGTATATGTATATGTATATATATATATATATATATATATATATATATATATATATATATATATATATATATATATATATATATATATATGCATATATATATATATATATATATATATATATATATATATACATACATACATATATGTATATATATATATATATATATATATATATATATATATATATATATATATATATATATATATATATATATATATATATATATATATATATATATATATATATGTATATACATATATATGTACATGTATATATATTTTATATTTATATAAAAATATATATATATATATATATATATATATATATATATATATATATATATATAACATATTTTATATATATAAAAACTACTTTATATATATATAAAATATTTATAATGACAAAAACTTTTCACTTAAGTTATATCATTTTTTGTTTTAATTCATAAGGTACCTTTTAACGTTTCACTTAAATTATATCAATTTTTGTTTTAATTCATATGGTACCTTTTAACGTTTTACTTAAATTATATCAATTTTTGTTTTTTCAGCTTTATAATTTATACATATAGGCATTATATATTTAAAAAAAGTTACAGAAACTTTTTTTCTTATGTCATGTTTATATACAATATAAACATTTTTTCTTATATCATGTTTATATTGTATATTCACATGATAAAAGAAAAATTTCTAAAATTATTTCTAAAAATGCAGTATTTCAAAGCCTAACTTTTCAGTTGTTTAGTCATTTAGGATATGTTCACTTAAAAAAATTGAAATATTAAAGGTAATAAAATATTAAAAGTTAAACTTTGTTTATATGGGAAAATGGAAATATTTAACTTATGATCGAAGTGCCTGATAAACTAAAACAAGCATATATAACTCTGTTGCCGTTTTTTGTTTAAAATTTAAAGACTTTCTAAAGCTAAACATTTTCTTAATGAACAAAATTAGCCATTATTTGATATTATTTTAATTGTTCAATTTTTTTTAATCTTCTTTGAAATTAAAAAGAAAACATTTTTATTAACGGTGTGTTTACAATTGGTCTTTGCATGGTTTACACAAATTTAATATTAAGTGATGGAACATAGACATGGAATCATCTGTGGTAAATATATGAGGTTGGGGAAGAGATGAGGCTGCAATTCTATTTTAAAAAGTTAAAAAAAAATTTTCATATAAAATTTAATTTGAACTTTTTTTATTAAACGAAGGAAGGGGGATAGTTTTATTATCCCATCACGCACTTAGTACATTGTAGTTGTATATTTTAATGTGTTACTATCTACTTTCAAAAAAATAAGTGCTCTAACAGGGTACAAGCTAAAATAATCTATGAGTTGATGAGTTTACAACGAAAAAATCACAGATGTCCGAAATGAGTGTCTAGTCTTTTCAAAATAACACTGTGAATAAATAATGCTTGTGTTTAGCACAATTATGTTCGTTTTTATATTGTATATGGACTAAAATGTCACAAAAAAATACTTTAAAATAAATAAATTATTAATAAACAGATATCTAATATCACTAAAACACTAAGTTTCATTTTTCTCAAAGTAAGAAAAATGTGACATCTGTGGTTTTACCTGTGTTGTATACATATTTTTTAATCCTTTTTCATTTGTTCGCATACTTTTTTTAATCTGAATAAAAATTTTATTAACTTCATTACTTCTAAAAAATCTTTTTTAAGTATAGAGGATTTATAAATGTCTTGATCTCTTTTTTAGAGATAAACTTTTATTTACTTTGTTTAATCTGTTCAAAAAAAAATGCCATCCTTATAAAAATTGCAATAAAATTATCCGAATTTAAATATTTGTACTACAATTTAAATAGCTTTTAAAAGAGCAATCATTTTGAATTTCATTAAGTACTGAAAAAAATAGATACAAAAATTTCCTTTACAGCATTAACTGCAATAAATTTAAAATACCACCTCGTATCAGTAGTCATTTTAAGGCTGATTCTGCTTATAGGTTTATTTTTATCTCTCCAACTTGTAGAATATAAGAACTAATATAGTAAATAAACTATATGGAGAATCATATAAAGAACTAGCAGTAAGCAACCCGTAATACGGGTTAGTAGTAGATAAATCATTACTAAAAATTTGATATTTATTTACTTTCTCTAATAAAATATAAATTTATTTATACATTTTTTTAATTGAGCTCACTTTTATTTTTCTTGGCTTCTTAGTTTAAAAGAACTTTTAGCTTCATTAAAGATAAAGTTAACCATTTCTTTTGCAATGTTCAGACAAATCACAACCATGTAGTAATTAAAAATGACTTGAATTATATGCACAGAACATCGATGTCAAATTTTCAAATTCCGTAAAATTGTTTAGGTAAATATTGGGAATATATTCTACTCTCAATTTTGCTTTAAGCTGAGTCGTTTCTTTTTTTTTAAACGTTTCATTTTACTGAGTGAAGAGCTTAAAAATATGTCACTATCGCACCTAAACTTTTTAGTGTTATTAATGTACTTTTTAAATATTTTTAAAACATCAAAAATATTACACCAAAACTTGTAGGTATAGAAGTTGGATATCCGGAAAAACTATAAGTTGAAAAATATATCGCGTTTCCGAAAAGGGCTTAGCCCTGCATACGGATCCTATATTATTATGATAAAGATTATTATTAAACCAACCTTTTTTTAATTAGTAATCCAGCAGAAACTTGTTTATAGAAAAATAATAAAGGAATATATGGATTTACTTTAATAGCTAACGTGTATCAACATATTTATTTCAGCATACATCCAATCCATATTTATACTAATTTTATAAAATGTCCGGAATACATTTTGCCTTAACTTGGCGTTAAATTATTATTTTTATTTCAATTATTTTTGTATAGGTCAGGTTAAAAATAAAAGCAATTGGATTTTACTCAATATTTTTGAAGTAATTATTCAGCTTTAATAAAATTGATAAAATCATATAAGACAGTTAAAAAATATATTTAAAGCTTTGTTCACTTTTTGAAAATCCGTAAAAAAGCAAGTATCAAGTTTACATATCTTTAAAAGAAATTTATTTACATGATATATAGTTAAATATGTAACAAAAATATTTTAAAACAGAGGCATATATAAAACACATTTTTCTTAAAAAAACTAAGTTGAAGTCACCATTTACAGCACCGAGGAGCCAAGCATAGCCTATTGTAAAGAAAACCATAACAAATAATTTAAAATATTTATTACCGATAGGGACGACAATTAAACATATTTAGAAAGCTACGTGATTCCATATTAGTAGGATTGTTATAGAAAAGTATATTAAAAAGTATATTTAAAAAAAAGTGTATTAAATAGAAAACAGATTTTTAAAAACTACCTAATTTTGTAAGCATTTTGCCAATGGTGTTCAATTTTGAAACCAATATCTTGAATTGGAAAGCCGACTTGTTTAATTAATCTCATTCAAAGAATAAAATTGACACTTAAAGAAAAGAAAAAATGAATGAGATATAAACAATCGTACTATAGTATTATATAGATAAGTAGATATATATGAAAAAAACAACAACAACTGGAAAACAGTATACCTGCTTTTGGTAACCTATTGTGACACTGCAGCAGTTGCTGTAGGGATGCAGCTGTTCTTTTTGGTGTTGTTCAAAAACGTAATTTTTATGTTGGCTTTTAGTAAATTTAAAAGACATCACAACGGATTTAAAATACTCATAATAAAAAAAGCAAAACATAAAATGCTTCAAGGAGCCAAAACATAAAAGATGAAGAATCGAGATAAATAAATTGTATTTATATAGCTAAATATATTGCCTTGGGTTTTGGTAAATTTTAAAAGTAGTGAGTTCAATAAATGAAACATACCAAATAATTGTTTTTAACAAAAGAATGCAGCATCATTATTTTATGATAATTAGATAATGAATCAATTCAACTTTCGACTTTAGATTTTAGGGAGGGGTATTTAAGAGGGTTTTAAATTTGAAGTCAGGTTTAATTGGTGAGAAAACAATTAAAATTTTCATTAAAAAAGATCAAAACAAATCAAATATACAACGTAATATATATTTAAAAAAAAAAATTACAAAAATAAAAGGAAAAACACAGAAACAAAAAATTACAAAATTAAAAAAAAAAAAACCCAAAGAAAAAGCAGCAACTAAAAAGACGACCCAGTGTAACTATAATATAAATATTTTTAAAGTAAAAAAGAATTTAATATTATAATATATATGATTTTAAAAACCTGAAATTTTAAATCTACCTCGAAGAAAACAGATATATATTGAAAAGTATTTTTATTTCTTTTTAAAAATTTAAAAATGCTTTATAACTTACTTGTTTCGATATTATCACCAACGTCTAAATAGAAAACCAAACAAACATTTAAGTCGACTCATTCTTAAATCTTATAATAAATATGATTTGAAAAATCTGAAATTTTAAATCTACCTCGAAGAAAACAGATATATAATAAAAAGTATTTTTATTTCTTTTTAAAAATTTAAAAATGCTTTATAACTTACTTGTTTCATATTATTACCAACGTCTAAATAGAAAAACAAAGATATACGAGTTATATATATGATTTTAAAATATATATGATTTTAAAAACCTGAAACTTTAAATCTACCTCATAGAAAACAGATATATATTGAAAAGTATTTTTATTTCTTTTTAAAAATTTAAAAATGCTTTTTAACTTACTTGCGTCAATATTGTCATCATCTAAATAGAAAAACAAACAAACATTTAAGTCGACTCATTCTTAAATCTAGTTTAATTTCTTCAATTATAAAAAAAATTTAATCTTTGAGGATTAAATTCATTTACAAAAATCCGTTAAAGTTGGTTTAAACCATTTTAGCATTGTAAAGTTAATTTAAAGTTTTTAAAAACTGAAACTTTAATTCTAGCTTAAAGAAAATAGATATATATTGAAAAGTATTTTTAATTCTTTTTAAAAATTTAAAAATGCTTCTAAACTTACTCCCTCCAATATAATTATATAATATATATAGTATATATGATATGAAACCTCCACAATTTCCTTGGTTTAACAACTCGATTATGATTAATAACAACTCTGTAAACATGAATTTTCTAATAACCTAAATAAATTACAGATAGACAAACATAAACTAACACAATTAAATCCTAAACCAAAATTCATTCATGCAAGACAAATTATTTTATATTTATTGAAGAGCCATATTTTTTTTCAAAGAGCAAAAGTATTAACAATATTAAAGATAAATTTTATTTATAACAAAATTTTCAATAAAAATTAAATTAAGATAAATTTATAACAAAATGTTGTCATGGCTTTTATCCCAATAACCAAAACTAAGTGAAAGCATGAAACTACCCATAAATTATTTATGGGTAGTTTCATGCTTTCACTTAGTTTTGGTTAAAATATATTTATTAAATATATTTTAACGCTAGACACAATTTAAGAATTAAAGTAATCTATAACAC